GACTCGTTTCCTCTTTTTGATTGGATGGTGGTGTGGCAATTGCTCCATTTGAAGTTTCTAGCTCCGTCGCAGAGGGAATTCCTGTACCGGTATTTACACGAGTCGCTTGCGACTAACGAGCGGCTACTGAGGTTGGGGATTAAGGATAGTGCTGGGTGTGACCTTTGTGGGGAGGGGGGGGGGGCTGGAGACTGTGTTTCATGTGTTTTATTTTGGCCAGGCCGGGCGAGGTTGGTGGATTGGTTGAATAGGACACTTGTGCGTTTTTGCTGGTCAGTGTACTGTATTTCCCCTTTACGTTTATTGATGTTTGATGTTCAGGCTCCTTGTAGGAGGGTCCGCAATACTGTGCTTTTGGTTTTATCGGATTATCTTTATTGTGTGTGGGTTGGGAGGCGGGAGGGGTATTCATTGGATAGAATGTTGGGTTTTTTGGAAGGTCGGTTACGTTACTCGAAATGGGAATTACGTTGGTTGCTTGGGGAAGGGTTAGGGGACCATTTTACTGATACTTATGTGCGTTATGGGTAGTATATGACGTGTTTTTTTGGGGGGGTACTGGGATTGTAGTTTGCTTTCGTTTTGTGGGTTTGATGGACTCTGGGCTCCGTAGGTCGGTTGCCATGTGTCTAGGGTTTCCTGGGGTTCAGGGACGTTGCTGGGTAATCAATTTTGCTTTTTCCTGCTTTGTGTGTGTCGTTCTGGTTTTGTTGGGCCTCTGTTTTTTTTTTTCCTCCTCCTGAGGTGTTTGTACGTTTGTACTATACTCTTCAGGTGGCGGCTGTTAGTGTTCTGGGTTCCGTTTTGTTTTGACGTTGGTTGTTGGCATGATGTCAATGTGTAATGTTTAGCTGTGGGATTAATCTCCATTTGTGCGAGTGTGCGAGTGTGTGTGTGTGCTGGGTTTGCGCGCGACATGACCTGTTGTCCGTGTGTCTTCCTTTCTTCTTGTGATGGGTTTGTGGGACGGCACTGTGTGTGTCACTGCATATCACTATGATGGTATTGTGGCAGGGGTACCATACGGATGTTTGTGGTGCTGTGATTTGAGACAGTTTGGGTGTGTATGAGTTTGTTTGAGGTATGGTTTCCTGGATTCCTAACATGACCTGTCCCTATGATGTGCTTCCCTGTTTTCCCAGTTTCTGGGTGGTACAGGTACTAATGTGCATATGTGTATTTTAAGGGGTGCTGTGACCCCCTGTTACATTGTTTCCGGTTGAGGGGACTTTGTTATATAGTTAACTTGTTTTATCTACTGGTTTTATTCATGCTTTCTCCGGGTTCGGAGTGTAATGTGTGTTTCATTTTGGATTCTTGGGTCCTTTTTATTAAGCCCTGCCATAGTACATATGTGGCCTTTGACATAACATGTGTTCTGTTTTCCTTGAGTGGGTACCTTCTCATTTGTGCATTTCTTCTGTTACCTATATACTATTCGTGTCCTAGGTTTGAGTGGTGTGAGATGGCTCTGTATTTGCTAGGGTTTGAATGTATATTTATTTCTTGACTTTATATGGAAAAGGAAAACAAAACTATATGTGTATGTAATATATATATGCATGTGTATATATATGTTTGTGTTGGCTGTTGCGTGTTGTAACTGAACTGTGTGCTTTAAAACTGAGTAATTTGCTTTGTATTCGTTTACGCTGTTTTACATTGTTAATTTAATACTGTCATTTTTGTATATTGCTTTTCTTTCTTATATGCATTTTTTGTAATTGGTCTTTGTTTTTGTATTATGTGTCCGGTCTGTATGCCTTAGGTGTGTTGTTTAGTGGGGCGTTTTGGGAAATGTTTTCATTAGGTAAAATGCTACTAATGTTTTCAAGTGTTTTATGGGTTTTGTACATGGTTAGGTGGATGGATATACACTTTCCCCTTGTGTTGTGTTCATTTATGTTCCCCATCATACGCCTTTATTCGTCAGTACTGTAATTTTCCTTCTGTGCTGAGGGATGGGTAGTTTAATCACCTGTTTTGTGTTGATTGTTTCAATTTTCTTATGAGCCATGTGTGTGCTATCCAACTTACTGTGCAATAGTGCTTTGGTAATTGTTTTTATATTGTATATATGTGTTTTATAAATAAAAGAAAAAAAATTATAAGTTTTGCCGTGAGTGGCAAGGATGTACTGTGATGTACTGTGTTTTACCATGTGTAAACCGTAGACAAGTTTGTCTTTGGTGGAAGGCGTTGTGTACTGTGAAGGATTCCGTGAGAATTAAAGTAATTTAACGTCACCGGGGGTCACGATTTACTTAACGAGGTCACTTGTTTCGTTGAACATTGTTGTGATTAACGTAGAGACGTGTAAAGGCAACAGTCACAGTGAAGTTCACGCAGTGGAAGAATTGTCAAGTGAAGACTAACGTTGTGTTAACGATTTAACGAGCTGTCGTTAATTGATTGATTAACGTAAGAGGTAGACCGGTCTGTTATGATCGGAGTCAATTGCGCTGTAATTAAGCTGCGGTAATTCGTTGGACTGATCAGATCTGTGACAAGCCGTGACAATATTGATTGCAAGCTTGCGTCACCAGTAGGCACCACTTTGTTCAGTTAGTGTCATTAGTCAGTCAGCGATGACGGGATAAGGATACCGTGGGTCCATCAGGCTGTTGATTAGCTGTTCTTGAATGTGCCACTGGAGTGACAGTAAAGTAGCGTAAATTCACTGTGTAGTAGTTTTAGTTTATTTTGTGAATAAGTTGTTGTTATAGAAAACGGTCGTTTACGTCAAACCTTCCAATATTACTGCCCCAAATATCATGTTCTGCAACGCTTTGCCTGCTTATGTTCATATCAAGTCTGTATCTAAAGCTCGAGTCCATTGTACAGCACCACACTTCTATAAATAAGAAGTGAGAATCCGTCGGCTACCCTTTATTAGTTGTCAACTAGGAGGAGCCAGCGACCTAAGTGACAGGTGTTACCCGGGTGGTTTCGCCTGGCGGTTTCCCCCCGCTGTCCTATGATCTTAGGCTTTAAGATTAAATATCTGCCACTGGCAGCTCTTGCTGTTTAAGGTCTGCCTCTCTTGCGAGGTAGTTACGATTAACGTAACATTAATAGGACTTAATTCTTTTGATAATTGTCAAAGAAAAAAAATCTCACACTTGTACGGAAAATACTTCTCTCAAACTTTCGGTGTCGCTATGGGTTTTCCTCTCTCCCCTGGTCTTGCCACTTTCTATATAGAATATTTCGAAACCGTTCTTCTTCTCACAATTGATACTCGTCCTTCTCTCTGGCTTCGCTATATTGATGACATTTTTGCTTTTTGCCTTCATAACCCAAGTCTTCTCTAGCTTTTCCTTTCCTCTCCTCTCCTCTCTTAGCAATCTGGCTTCTTCTATCTTCTTCAAAGTTGTATTATAATCTAATTCCCACCGTTTCTTTCTTGACGTTCATGTTCACAGCTCTGTGTCCGGGTTTTCTTTCTTTGGCTATCGCAAACTCATGCATAGTGGCATGTATATTCACATCTTTTCTTACCATCAATGTTAACAAAAGTATTCCCGTCCCTCTCTTCCTCCGCGCTCTATGCATCAGCGACCCTCAGTTTCTTCATTTTCAAATGTCTTTTATTTACATGACTTTCTCTTGCCTTGGTTAACCCTTACATTTTATCAACTGTGACTATTTTCAAGCTAAACGTAATTTCTTTCATCCCAAACCTGTTTCCAACACTACTAGCACTGTGCTCTGCCTTCCCTATATATCTGAACTAAAAAATCTCACTAATACCCCTCGGCCTCTCGATGTAAAGCTCGCCCTTCGACAAACTGACACTGTTCGTAGTAATCTGGTTCATACTGCTACTGCTGCTTCTGCCTACTCTATTTCCTGTTCGTGTTGTCCTCTCCAATATTTTTGATGAAACTGGTCGTACACTAAATGAGACTTAAGGAACACAAAAGACGAAATAAGTCTGCAGATATTAACTATGCTCTTTTCTGTCATGTTAGGGACGCTAATCATCCTACAGATTAGTTTTCTTCTAAAATAATCTTTCCTGCCTCTACTCTTCACAGACGTCATCTTGTCGAATCGGCTCTAATACACAACCTTCCCAACATGACCTCACCAACAAATCCAACATGTTGAAGATTCAACGAGTACAAAACAAAGCACTTCGCTTTGCAGAGGGCCTGACTCTGAGGGACAGGGTAAGAACTGACCTGATCCATGAGACGCTCAACATGAAGCCAATGAACATTAGGCTCAGCTACCTGGCCAGAAGACAGCTGTACCGTATGAAGAACATGTATGTCCCAGACCCAGAAGATCCCTTCGTAGCAGAAAACACCACCAGCGACTACGAGATCCACGAACCACCACACAGAACGAGAAGAATCACTCTCCAACAAAAAGTGATCAGACATATCCATGATGAGGCCTTCCCAAGCCCTCAGATACTAAGCGGTCTGCCAGACGATCGAGATGAGTGGCCCATCCCGGACCCAATCTACACCAAATGAAGAATAAAGAAAGAAAGAAAAAAATAATAAAATAAAAAAATAAAAATAAAAAAAAAAAAAAAATAAATAAAATAAATAAAAAAAAAAAAAAAAAAAAAAAAAAAAAAAAAAAAAAAAAAAAAAAAAAAAAAAATATATATATAAATAAATAAAACACCTACAAAAAAATATAAAACCAAAAAACCATTTGTCGTGGCGGCAGAAGTGTAACTACCCTGATGTTTCTAAGATTAGCCTCCTTCAGCCAACTCCATCGGCTCTAGTGCTTTAGGACACCAACAAGGTCACAAACACTAGCCCCCCCAGCCAATGTACTGACAACCCAACATAACACATACGCAAACAAACAACACATACAAAAATGTCAACCCATGGTGGACAGGCCACCGAACTTTCAAACCTCCTCTCTCTCTACACCCGCATCCTCTTCCTGAATTTCATCTCCCCATCCCTCTACCTCCCCCATCCTTTCCATTCCCTATGGACATCAATCCAATCCCAACATGAACCTTAGTCCTGACTTTGTTGCTGTTAACTCTTCCCTTTCACAGTACATATTCAAATGCTCCAACCTTCCTAACACTCTTGTTTTGATGTAAGCTTTGCCCCTATTGCTTATTCATACCTCCTTTCTTATTCTTCCGTTTCCTGTTCTTCTTACCTGCCTCTTATTTTTACATGCATCCAATTCTTACCTTATTCTTACATTCATTCTATTCATACTTTTCTCTTACCTACTCCTCACCTCATTCTATTTCCATAAATTTGCCTGTACCTTCCTCTCTTCTTGTGTTTATGGGCTATTCATGGCCGTGCCAGCTCTTGGGTGCCTTAATCTTCATCAGTCAATCATCTCTTCTTATATTACGGACTCACTATAGCCTGTGCTACATGGACATTTCGTTCTGAGTAGCTATATCTTAAACAACAACAACATCTCTCTTCTTTTCTACCTCTGATTATGGTCCAGGACTGACCGAAAAGTTTTTTTTTTACTTTCTGGTGTGTGGTTTGGTCATCATATTGCATTGTAGACCTTCAACGGAGATTGAACACGAATTAAGAGTCTAGCTTGCAAAGAGTGCGACTTACAAGAAAGTATTAACTTACAAATACTTCTTATTCAGAGAGAAGATGGCTGTACAAGTCTTGGTGGTTGGTACACTGACACTGACGTCCGGCTCAACATACTTCAATACCTTGTTCTTGATAGTGGAGCTGTTTGGCGCACCCACACACACTCCCTGAAACACAAATTGTTGATTGATAGTTGAAAGGCGGGACCAAAGAGCCGAAACTCAACCCCCGCAAGTTCAACTAGGTGAGTACAGAAGATATTATTGACTTGTAGACACCAGCAGGTGGGTTTTAGACCTTTTTCTGGGACATGTAACTAACTTCCACATGCAGTTCCTCCCCCACATGCACTTCCTAATGCATAGAATGCATTAGGAAGTGATGTGGTAGAGGCTGACTCCATACGCAGCTTAAAATGTAGAAATGATAGAGCCCCAGTAGGCTCAGGAAACTATACATTAGTTGATTGACAGTTGAGAGGTGGGACGAAAGAGCCAGAGCTCAACCCCCGCAAGCACAACTAGGTAAATACAACTAGGTAAGTACACACACACACACACAAACACACAACACACACACACACACACACACACACACACACACACACACACACACACACACACACACACACACACACACACACACACACACACACACACACACACACACACACACACACACACACACACACACACACAAACACACAAGATGGAATTGTCGCATTGGAAGGAAATGCCTCTGTACCTGAAACATTTGCAGAAATACTGAGAAAGAGCACAGAAGCAATGGCCACAGTGAGGGAGGTAGCCATGCAAGCACTACCTCACAGGAAGCAGCAAGGTGCACCAGTCAGCTGCTGGAAAGAGTGATAGCTGTAGGCATCAAAGAACAGGAAGGATCCAATAGGCAAGAATGGAATAGCAAGGACAGAGAGGCAGTATATGGGATACTAAAGGGGTTAAGGATGAAAGGGGCTGAACAAAACATTGAGAAGGTATTCATGTTGGGCTGGTACAACAAGAACAGAGACCGCCTGGTGAAGATAGTGTTTGCAAACGAGACCACGAAGGAGGTTATTCTACAAAGGAAGAGTCATCTGCAGTATGTGGAGGAATACAAAAAGGTATTCCTCCAGAGGGACAGGAAGAAGAAGGAGAAAGCCAGGGCAGCAGAGGCAAGGAGGAAGCACAGGGAGAGAGGAGCAAACCAGGAAATCACAGCCCCCAACACAACAGTCCCAGAGGCAAGAGGAGAACCCACAACCAGTATCCCAGCAACGCCAGAGGAGAGGGCAACACCGCCACCCTCCTCTGCACAGAAATCATCCCTACCATTCACCCTACCTGCCCCCACCCAAATGCTCACTCAACCCTCCCCACCCTATTCTGACCCCGTCACCCCTCACCCATTCCCACAAAGTCCCCCCTCCCCCTTTCCCCCCCTGTCTTCCTTCCCCCTTCATCCCATACCCTCCCTATCCCTCTTCCTCCCCTCACCCCGTATCCACCATGTCCCCCCTACCTCCTTATCCCATACCCTACCTGTCCCCTTGACCCCCCCCCCCCCACACCCCCGAATCCACTGTGACCCTGTTAACTATTTCACAGATCTTCACACCTATTGAGCAGCTTCCTCCGTTGCCTTGAAGCTCACTTTCTTCTGTTCATTCTCTTGTCCTCTTCTTAGTGAGCGTTCTGCTGACAGAGGAAGCTGTTCAATAGATGAGAAGATCTGTGAGATGGTTAACAGGGTCACAGTGGATTCTGGGGTGGGGGTGGGGGGGTTCAAGGGGACAGGTAGGGTATGGGATAAGGATTGTACAATATCATAGATGGAATTACGAATATAACAAGTGAACTTGGGGAATGGCACTAGAAGAAAACCCAGATATAATACCACTCAGAAACAAAGCTAACGAAAATCAAAACAAATGCAGTGTTCCCAAAAGACTACTATGTAGTGAGGAAAGAGAGAGAAGGAAGAGGAGGAGGTGGTGTAGCTTTGATGATAAGAAAAGGCTGGAGTTTTGAAGAGATGGTTGTTCAGGACTGTGTAGATTTCAGTGACTACATAACAAGTACCATAGCAATTGGAGGACAAAAAATTATAGTAGTAGTCATATATAAACACCCCACCAAGTGACAGAAGACCCAGACAGGAATGTGATCGAAACAACATGGCCACCATCAATATAATAGTGAGAGCAGCTTCTGTAGCTAACAGGAATGGACCCAGACTACTAATTATGAGAGACTTAGACTTATGAGAGAGAGAGAACCACGAGAAGATAGAATGGGAGAACAGGGACCCACATGGAGGACTGGACACATGGAGAGCTAAGCTGCTGGACGTAGCAACAAAAAACTTTCTAAGCCAACACATCAAGGGACTGACAGAATGAGAGGAGAGGATGAACCAGCTATGCTTGATTTAATATTTACCCTAAATGAGTCGGATATAAGGGAAGTTAAGTTGGAAGCCCCCTAAGGAACGAGTGATCACAGTATATTGATCTTTGAGTACCTGGTAGTGCTAGGAATTATCTCCCCAAAAAAAGAACTAGAAAACAAAAGGCTGGCATACTGAAAGGGGAATTATAAGGAGATGAAAAGTTTCCTAAGGGAAAAACCTTGGCAAACAGACCTCAAATCTAAGTCTGTACAAGATATGATAGACTATGTCACCCAAAAGTGTCAGGAGGCAGTAAACAGGTTCATTCCGGCCCAAAGGGAAAACCCCGAGAGGCAAAAGAAGAATGCATGGTATAATAGGGCTCTCTCTCCCCCCAACCCGATCTGCCCTCCTGACAAATCCTATCACTGCACAACTAGGAACCGGGGCAAGCATGACAGCCTGAGGTAACAAGGGAACAGGGAAAGTCAAGGTGACGAAATGAAGGAAATGTTCGCCCAGTTTCTGGAGGACATCAAGAGTGAGATGCAGGAAATGATGCAGGAAATGAAGAATGAAATAAGGAACCTGAAAAAAGAGCTGAGAGCAGCAAAGGAGGAGATTAGAGCCCTCAAAGAGAACAGTATCGATGCTGAGACTCAGATAATCATCAAGGGAGAAGGTGGTAATAGTATTTTGGAAAAGAATGCCTCAATAAAAGCAACATTTGCAGAAATGCTAAAAAAAATACCTCTGAAGTAATGTCTGCATTGATAGAGGTAGCCATGAAAGCAGCCACCTCACAGGAAGCGGCACGCTCCACTAGCCAGCTACTGGAAAGGAAAAGATCTGTGGTAGCTGTGGGTATTACTGAGCAGGAAGGTTCCAATAGCACAGAGTGGAATGATAAGGACAAAGCGGCAGTGAATGAAATACTGAAGGCACTAGACATGGAAGGGGGGCTGAACATAGCATTGAGAAGGTTTTCAGGCTAGGCTGGTACAACAAAGACCGAGACCATGTGTTAAAGATAGTGTTTGCAAATGAGAACACAAAGGAAAAAACTAACAAGGAAGAGCTACCTGCAATATGTGGGAGAATTCAAAAATGTATTCCTCCAGAGGGACATGATGGCAGAAGCAAGGAAGAAGTGCAGGGCGAGAGGAGAAATCCAGGAAATAACAGCTCCCAACACAACATCCCCAGAGGCGAGGGGGGAAACCCACAACAAGCTACCCAGTAACACCAGCGGGGAGGGCAACCCCGCTCCACCCTCCTCTTCATAGAAAACCCCCTACCCCAAACCCACCCTGCCCCCACTCAAATGCTCAGCCAAATCTCCCTCCCCTCACACCCCATCCCTGCCCTTCTATCCCTCCCCTCCTCCCACCATGTCTCCCTCCCCCCTTTGCCTTCCTGTCCTCCCTCCCCCTTCACTTGACCCCCCACCCCTCATCCCAGTATCCTCTGAGACCTTGTTATCCACCTCATAAATCCTCACACCCATGGAACAGCTTCCTCCACCAGCAGAACACTCACCAAGGAGGCGATTTGAGAAGGGACAGAAGAAAGTGAGCCTCATGGCAATGTACACTAACATTTATGGAATTACAAATAAAGCAAATGAAAGTGGAGAATGGGTACTAGAGGAAAACCCAGACATAATGGCTCTCACAGAAATAAAACTAACGAAAACCATAACAAATACAGCGTTCCCACAGGACTATTATGTTATGAGGAAAGAGAGGGAAGGAAGAGGTAGTGCTGGTGTAGCTCTGCTGGTAAGAAAAGGCTGGGATTTTGAGGAGATGGTTATTCAGGTTTGTGAAGGTTTCAGTGACTACACAACAGATACAATAACAACTGGAGGGCAAAAAATTATAGTTGAAGTCATATATAATCCACCACCAAATGACAGAAGACCCAGACAAGAATATGATAGAAACAACATGGTCATCATTAACATAATAGAGAGAGCAGCTTCTGTTGCTAGCAGGAATGGATCTGGACTACTAATCATGGAAGACTTCAACCATGGGAAGATAGATTGGGAGAACAAAGACCCGCCTGGAGGACCAGAAACATAGAGAGCTAAGCTGCTGGACGTGGCATCAAGAAACTTTCTAAGCCAGCACATCAAGGAACCAACAAGAATGCGAGAAGATGAACCAGCAATGCTCGATCTGATATATACCTTAAATGAGTGGGATATAAGGGAAGTTAAGATGGAAGCACTCTTGGGAATGAGTGATCACAGTGTATTGAACTTTGAGTACCTGGTAAAGCTAGGAATTATCTCCCCCAAAAAAGAAATAGGAAACAAAAAGCTGGCATACCGAAAAGGGAATTATGAGATGAGAAGTTTCCTAAGGGAAATACCTTGGGACACAGACCTTAGAGCTAAGTCTGTACAAGATATGATGGACTATGTCACCCAAAAGTGTCAGGAGGCAGTAAACAGGTTCATCCCAGCCCAAAGAGAAAAATCCGAGGAGCAAAAGAAGAATCCATGGTATAATAGGACATGCATGGAAGCAAAGAAACTGAACAAAAGGGCATGGAGAAACTTCTGGAATAACAGAACACCAGAAAGCAGAGGGAGAGATACCAGAGAACCAGGAATGAGTATGTCAGGGAGAGAAGAGAAGCAGAGAAAAGTTATGAAAATGATATAGCAAACAAAGCCAAGACCGAACCAAAGCTACTCCATAGTCACATCAGGAGGAAAACAATAGTGAAAGAGCAGGTAATGAAACTTACAACAGGCGAGGACAGG